ATTCCTGCATATGGATTTGCATTACTGAGGCCTATATTTGCAAAATGGAAATCTGGTTAGGTATTGTAACAAAGCAGGCCTCTACTAAATTACCTTTACCTTACTCACCTAGAAGGAAAAAAGAGAACATACTCAGCTACCTACTACAAAAATGAGTTTTACAGGTATTAAAATGAAGAGGATTAAAACATTTCATTGTCTGCATAAAATAAACAACTGATTAGCTGGGAAAAAATAGCTGAAGTGAGTAAGTAATGGTGTGTTTTTTGTTCCATGTGTGCATTGCACCAGTCACAGCAATAAAGATCATGACTAGAGCTGAGCATGTCTCAGACACAACTGTAATTAAAAATAATTGATCTGTGTTTAGTAGGATCTAAATGTTACAAGTAAACAAGATAGATATCCTGTTTGTGTTTTCTCACGTTTTGCTTTGATATTATTGAATAATGGCACTGCCAGTGAACAAGGGAAAAGGAGGAGGAGGAGAGGGCCCATTTAACTCAGTCACATATCTTGTCTGCATCTTTTATGTGTATATCTTAAGAGTGAAACCTTGAGGCATCATAGTAAGTGAAAATCATAGCTTCTTTAGTGTCTATATTTGACAGCACTCACATATAGCCAGTTACACTGTCTCTCAGTAACTTGTGTCTCTAGTCTGTATGATTCTTTTGCAACTGAAAGACAAAAAATATTTTGGAAAAAAGGGAATGAACAGCTGTGGTGACCCACAGTATTGACAGAGGGGCTGGATAAATACAGTACCTTGACATGGGAGGTGCTCCAAAATGTGAGGAAAAGAGTGAGGTTCTGTGAGAGAAGGTGAGAGTTTCATTTTCAGCTGTGACAGTCCGGATACGAGGGAAAGGAGGAGATTAAAAGTGAAGAGGACCACTACAGGCAAGCTAATCAAAGCATGAGTAAAAGAAAGCTATAGAAGTTTATTACCAGTTTCTATTAAAAATGACTACGATGCAGAGTACCTGTACTGAGAAGCTGTCAGTTGTAGTAGGCATTTATATTTCTTTCTAGATGAATTGCATGCTATCTTTATTTTTCCCCCCCTGCAGTTCGTAACAACCTTTCCGTTTCAGTTCTGGAGCAGGCTCACCGGGGATGCCAGGTGCCACAGCAGGGCAATAGGAACCGTGATATCAGTGGGTGACTGCGGGGCTGTCAGTCCCCTGCTCGCTCCCCTCTCTGGCTTCAGTGGCGGCTTCTGTAAACTACCTCAGCAGTAAATGGATGGCATTTTTTAGATTTTTGTGCATAGCGACAGTCTGGCAGGAAGTAAGAATGCATTAGGAACACAGATATCTTAAAAATAAAGATATCACTTCTGGGTCAGGAAGTCTTGAGCTTCTGGAAGTGTACCAAAGCTGTGTCACTATATGCTTGCCTTACTGTATAGTATTTCCAAGGCATGTGGCCATTGTCAGAAATAGGGTACTGGGCTACATGGATTTTTTGTCTGATTC